TTCAGAATTTCCATTTCTTTCATTTGCTTTTTGTTTCAACTTCTCTAGGACGTTGCTTGCAAGTACAGTTGCACTTTCAGGCTGCACTGGCTGCAAAATGGACGCGTGTCTCCAGAGATGGAAATCTTCAGCGGGTCAGATTCCAGCTCTTGGAAATCACAAGCAAAGCCATTGCAAAACAACAACCTCAACCCGAAAGGTGTTGCCTGGCCAACTTACCTGTCTCCTTTCGAAGCTTTATTTTGATCAGGGCGAGAGTAGTGATGAAAATCAGTAAAATGAGAGCTGGTAACACAACTGGGAGCAGATGTGATTCACGTGATGAGCTCGAAAGACAAACAAACCATCAGAATTAAATTGGATTTTGATTCAACTATGGTGTGGCTGAAGTACCTTAATGCAGGTTGCTGGTTTTACACCAAAGAGTATAAAGGAGTTATAAACTCTGACTGAATCAAAGGAGAACAGTCAACAAAGTCAAGTAGAGATTAAATCATTTGATCTGGAGTTTGGTTTATGAGGAGTAATTTCTACAGCTGCCTCTGCTCTACCCTGTGGGGTTTATGCTGCCAGCTGAATCAGTCCCTCCGAAAGGAAGACAAGCTGTTTTCATCGCACAAATTCACAAGCGAGGTTCAGACTCTTTCTTTGTGAGTTGTTGTAGACCCTCATGCTGTTGGAGGGTGTCTACGTGCCATCTCCTTGCAAAAAAGATCTAAATGCTATCAGAGCTCCCCAGGCAGACAGAGCTTTGCCGGGAACGGTGCAAAATCTGACCCTTTATACAAGAGCATATTTTGTGTTTGGTAACAGGCTCTCCCCTCGTCCTTCTGGCTGGATGGCAAGGAGATACGGCTTGAGGGAGGCTGGCGGATGGAGAGGATGGTGCTTCTCATACTGAGGGTCACTGGGGCAGATGTGAGCTCCGAGGTGCATGGAGGGATAGCTCAGAATATTGAACTGGATTTGTGGGCTTTGTGGTTTATCCTCAGTTATGACTGATACTGCAATATCTGATGCATCTGCACCAGCTATGCAAATCCCTTCACCCGGCGCTGGATGGTGGCCACAGCTGGAGCGAAAGGTGTAAGAGCTGCTCGCAGCCATCCTGTGTAACAGGGAGCACAGAAGGTAAATTCACCGGGGAAACCACTTGCACTGGGGTGAGCTGTGGGGCTTGCTGTAGAGAAGTGCCATGGAATAATTACTGGCCAAAATATCTCACAGCCTTTTGATTAACCTTGTCCAAAGATAGCTCCTTATGCAACACAGAGCACCCAAACGCTACCCTGGTTGCTGGCTGCTTATAAGGGCTTGGATAACATGTGCAGCGAAGTATGCAGCAGCTACTTACTCACCCGCGTGATTGCTCAAGCCTAATGTTTCCTAACGTCCTGTATCCCCACTAAGCAAAGGAAAACAGACAGCAGCACATCTATTGACTCTGGCATCTGATCTACAGGAGCGACCAGTGCCAGAAGATTTAGAGCCAAGTTCAAAGATACATGCCACAGATGGACATGAGATAACCTTGCCTTCTGCTTTTCTAACTACTAATGTCTCCTATTGGTGTTTTCAACTTGCAACCTGTGCACAACGTGTGTAGGGCCCTGGGAAATCGGGCAGACAGGTTGTAAACCACCAACAAGAAATGTGGCCATGAACTTACCTCTTGCGATAGATTTCGCTTGCGGAGGTTACAAAGGTGCTGGGGGGGGCAGTGGGCAGCAGGGTGCTGGTGCTCTTGGTGACGGTGCCCATCACGTACATCAGACCCGTGATGCTCCTCTGCGTGGGCGTGCTGTAGGTGGCTGGACTTGATGATAAAGTGGGTTTCACAAGAGTGGATGTTTCTGGGTCTTGTGAAGAGCAGTTTTCTACTGAGAAAGTTATTTTGAGGCTTGAATATCCATCTTTTTGCAGAGACAACACGTTAATTTACCAAAAATTTACGCATTTCACCTTGCATCTCGGCATAAAAAAATATGCAGCACGATATGACCAAACACAAGCATTTCTATTTTCCTTTGAGTCTTACAGAAAGCAGATTGGGAGTACTAATGAAAACCCATTAATACCTGGCAAAGACTCATACTTTAACCCCACTATTTCTGTCTTTGCCAGCTGAGCAGCTACATGGATCTGTGTATTTACGTGCTGCAGTTTCTAAAACTGCAAGATAACCTTCAGCTTATCTTCAGAGCAAAGCACATGTCTCTGCGCTGCACTTGCTAGGATCAGGATGTCATATGCTAGGGGTTTGCATCATAAATAATCAATAATATAATTCAAACAAACTAAATTTCCTCTGAAAGCTCAGCTTACATCCCTGCCTCTGAAAACCTTTACCTTCACCTCAGTTACTTGCCAACAATTGTGAGGCAAAACATACAGCTGATGTTTCTCACAATGTTGTTATATTTATGCATAGTACAAAGGAGAGTGTATTCCCCTGATGCCCGTGAAGGGGCAGGGGAA